CCCCCCCCCCCCGAGCTGCCTTTCTTTCCCTGTAATTTGACACCACCTCGGAGAGAAAACAAACTGCAAACTCCTTGCCACTCTGGCGTAGCCCCCGCTGCCACCTTCGAGATCCCAGTTGCTTTTCAAAACTACGCCCAAAACACCACAAACAAGCCTGGTGCGTTCCTGTGTCTGTCTGTCTATCTGTGGCTCGCGATTCCTTCCTTGTAGTCATGGGAAAATTCGCTCTTCCCTTGCCCAGTCTCTTCAGAAGCTTCCTTGCACATTCTTGAATGATTCTTATGTATATTCACTGACCGCCCACGTTTTTCTCTTCTCTGGCAAGCCACGGTTTGTTTAACCATGGTTTATTGAATAAACTGATTTGCTGAGCTCAGAGATTACACTAAGCCACACAAGCTAAAGTTTACCTGACACGTTAAGCCACAAGCAAGCAAACCACATTTCAGCTCAGTGTTCTCTGCAGCAATGGAGCAAAAAAGTGGGTTTTTTTGGTGGGGGGGCGGGGAGGTCCTTTGAAAGTGCATTAAAGCAGTTTATCCTACTACTCTGATATTTGGAGCAGGAGCAACAAGTGAAATGTTTTAAAACTGTGTGGCTCGCCTTTTAAATATGCTTCCAGGGAGGACTCAAAGAATAAAATACAAAGAACATCCTGGCATAAAAAAGACTCGACTAAAGATATTCATGAAATAATAAAATATGAGGGAAATTTTAATAAAAAACTACAATTCCCCCGTGACTGAACGTTTTTAAAGAGTGATGCAAAGTTAACTTCCCGGGGCAGAGGCCTACAGATGTGATGTCCCGTTGAAAATGCTCCTTCTCTGTGATGTCAGGTTACCATGCTTCCCTGTCAACAGCAGTGGAGGAGATTGTATGAGCCTTACCCTCGGCTATAGAGAAGTGTTTGCTCTTGTGTCTTGAGCTCCAAAAAATTATGGTATAGCACCGTGAAATTTGCAGTCTCTATTACCAATCCCAACCCTGCCTCTGCTTTAAGTCACTGTAACAAAGCAAAAAAGGTGCGATTCCACGAATTT